CTACCTGAATGACTACATGACACAAAACTTACCTTCATATTTCTCTCTCTGAGCTACAGCAGTTTTTAACTGCATGAAAGAGATGCTGAATATGTTATTCTGTATGAAATCTATAGTGAAACACAGGGATCACAAGACAGGAGTACAAAGTACAGATCCTTCCCCACTCCAGATAGAAAAACAAGTGACTCAACAGCCACGCTGAAGTGTGAGAATTGGTAACAAATATACATTTATTTCTGCCTAGAACCCAAAAAAATCTCAGGGCAGCTGTTAAAGGCTGCTGAAATCAAAGGAAATTATTTTATAGGCACCAGCGGGATATTCCTTACTATACCACTTCATCCATGTACTTCAGGTAGTTTCCAGCTCCTCCCTCACTGGTCATATACTTGAAAATGAGATACAGGATTAACACCTATCAAGGAGCAAATAGGGAAGTACAGAAACAATCTAACACAGCAGCACTAAAAAGGCTTAAGTCGACAGTAACGCTGAAACCTAACAAAATCGCATAAGCATCCATACGATTCAGATTTCACAGTAAGGAAATGATGACAGAGGTAATAAGTGCACCAAGAATCCCAGGTTAACTGCTTTCTTTGGCAGAGCCAGCCTTCCTGGAGAGTCTAAAGAAAGATGTTTCCTTACTTTTCTCACTTTTCTCCAGTTCCACCTGTCACAATAGCTGCCTTTGAAAAGCATGGCGAGAACCAAGGTCTGAAAGGCTGCCAAACAGATGCAACAGGTTGTCCTGTAACTAGTTTAACATAATAATGTACTACATTAAGCTACTCATGATTACAGTTTCAAACTCTGCAGTCCTGTGCTACAAACTTACTTTGTATTTTATTACAATCAAATAATAAGTCATTGACTTACAGTTTCTATCTATATACTCACAGTGCAAGCAGAATGTGACCTGGAAGAGATAAATGAGGAAAAAAAAAGAGAAATAATGGAAGGTAGATGAGAAGCTGCTTCTTTCACAACCAAAGGTGCAAAGAGCATTCTCAATAAGCCAGGTAAGCAACAAACATGGTTGTTAGAGAATATTTATGACAGCATCCACTGTGTAACATCACTGAAGCGTGCACAATGGGAGCAAGCTTTCTAGAAAATATATCTACAAAATAGACATGCAGTTAGGTCTAACTATCAATCATCTGGACATGTGAATAAATCTAGAGTCAGTGGTCCATGTTCTGTTAAAAGCAACTTCTACCATAGAGAAATCTTGCTGCCCAGTAAATAAGCTGTAAGACCACAGAAGCTAAAATATATTATACAAACTATCACAATAATAATATCACAACTACTAGGCCATCAAAAGTTTTAATATTTAGATCTTACTGAGAGTGAAGTGTATTTACAATGATTGGTTATATATTCTGTTTAAGTTATATAGCTTTAAGATCCCATCACACTGAAACAATCAGATTTTTGAGTGTTTGGGTTTTTATTTCATTTTATAATTTACATTCTTTGAATCAGTGCTTTCTGATCCACAAGAGCACATCTATATGGACTATTTAAGTCTCCTCTCCCCTGGAAGTGTGTGTGTAACTCCCATTAATGCTAATGGGCATAAAGCACACACATAGAGGAGAAAATAGACCCCTCACTGTGAAAATAAATGTGTTCAGTTATTTTCAGATGCGATGCCGAAATCAAACAACTAAAAGTACATACTCTAAGGAGATAACATTGTATAGACTAACTGAAAATGTCACCATTATTTTTAACTCCCTGGTCATGGACCCTGCCATGTTCTTCATGTTTCTGACATTTCCTGTGTCATAAAAACCATGACTGGATAACATATCAACAAGGGCCAAACCCTAAATTCTTATACAAGCGAAAGCATCCCTGATCTCACACTCCTTGCCTTCACAAAGGATGCAAGGTTATCCCTCGTGTCCTATGTTTTTCACTTAGGTCATATGTTTTCTCTTTACACCATATGGGTTAATAGCAGCAGTAAACTTTACTGCTCTCTAGGATAGTTCCTTAAAACCATGATGAATTTACCAAAGTAAAAATTTATAACAGTTATTTTTTTTCCTTAATGATTTGATAACCTGATGTTTTCTGTTTCAATCAAAATTCATGGAGTCAATGCTGTCTGTTTAAACAAGTAAGAAAAACTGTTTATCTGGTGATGTGAAATTCAAAGACACTGTGCTTAATTAAAATACAAATATAACCACATTTTTTTTCTAATGGAAGCAATGTTTTATGAATTTACAGCTAATCTAATGTGGTATTTGGAACAGTCACAAGAAAAGAAGGGTTTTAAACAGGGTGCAGTATAAGTGGAGCATGAATGGTTCTGGTGAGTGTATTTAGGGTCTTTGTAAAGTAGCCTGCTGACTTTCTAATGCAAGTAATCACACCCATCTTCCCAAATCAGAGAGATGCACCTTCAAACAAGTGGATGCTACTGAGTTATCAGTCAGTCAGGGATGAGTTCTTCCAGTGATGAGGCCTTTTCAGAAGCTGATGTTGTAGGAGATGGGAAGAGCATTATTGCTGAAAGGTCAACTGTCACAGCTCAGTGTCAGGATTTGCAACACTTCTTGGTCAAAGACAAACGTTAGGTGCTGCCAGGTGCTGTGCGGTCCAACTCCCAGCCCCTTGACCCCAGCCACATGCTCATGCACCTATTTCCACACTGAGTCAGTTTATGAAGAAAAATATTCCAAAGAAAACAAACCAAATAAAGAAATACTTCTCTACTGATCTGTCTCCCACCACAAAGCGTGAGTGGTAACAGGCACTGCTGCCTCCACAAAAACCGGGCAGCGAGGAATATGGGCAGAGGTGGCTGGCAGGAGAAGGGCTGCCCCTTTTAAACTGTCAGACCAACCCCATCACATCCCAGTATCAAACCCATACAAAAAGGACAGTCAAAGGAGGATGCCAGCTGAGACAAGGAACTGGCTGGTAGCTGCACACTGAAGTAAAGCAAGAGCCTTAAAGGCTGCCATTTTTCTGCCAGACACTTCCAGAAGTGCATGTATCATGCCTGAGGACAGCTAAGCACGGAATCACTCATCAAAGAGCTCTTTATGGACTGGCACACAGGGTTAATGACCACAGAGGCTGTTATTCACTGTACATGCCCTCAGTTCCAGACTCTTGAGCTGCAAAGTATTTCTGCATCTCACTTGAGGCTTTATAGTGAGAAAAGCTGGGCTAGAGAATACATGAGCACCCTTCTTTTCCAAACCAGAAAAAGGCACTAACAATACAGCAGCCCCAGTAGCATCTGAGGTTGTTGCAGCTCAGATCACCTTTTCTGAATTTGATACAGGAATTACTGCAGAGACTGATACTGCCAGCATGAACCAGGCAACAAATTAATGAGCTCCTTCATTCATTACAGGAGAGGAGCAGGGTTTACAATGGTCTGTCAGTAGCCATGTGGATGGACATCCATTAGTTTACATAACTGCATATGGAGCTGAGCTGGAGACACTGAGGCTCTGCATGGGTGGGACACGCAACATCCGTGAAGCAGAGCCCTTTATGTAACACTGAACTGGACTCACACAAATCAATACTGTTGAATGACTCTCTCTTCTTCTTCAAGTAATAGAAGCCTGTCTTTTTTTATCTGGGTGTATCACTGTGACTCATTTTGCAAGCTGACGTCTGATTACACAGAAGAAAGGCCAAAACCTTAAAATATTACTACTTCTGTATAGAACACTAAATCTATTTTCTCTTGAGTGAGTTTGCAGGGGTAAACAATCCTATGAATGATTTGGTGTATGATATGAAAAAGAGACATTTCTACAGCCCATCTATACTCCCAGAAAAGATCAGACTGTGCTGTCATCAAAGACATTTCCATAGCCTGTCGTATCACTTGAAAGACAGAAAAAACATCCTTTCAGAACAGTCATGTAAAAATGAAAAATAAATAAAGCCAGCCTGACCTGCCAGCATCACAGTGGAAATCTGAGCACAGTAACCTTAGACAATTTAGAGATTATGCTAACAATATGGCAAGAAGTTTCAGCAAACATTTGTGAGGAAGGGCAACTACTGCACAAGTGAATGCAATCCAAAAATATGAGTCATGCACAAGCAATTTTGCTATGGGCCATAAAATCACTTTATGAGAGTTACAGATAATTCTGTATGCATTCTATAATGTTTCCCTACTGTGTAGAGATGGATATCTCAGTATCCTATCACAGATAATGATGGAAAACAAATTCTCTGCATAAAAGCTGATTGCTCAGAGATTCCCTCTTAACTGTTCCAAGGGATTGTAATGCCAATGGAACACTTTATACAGCATTCATCAACAAAGAGGTAGATTCATCACTGCCAAACACACTGCAGTTTAGATATTTGTTATAAGATGTAGCAGGGTGAATTGAGAGCAGCTTCAGACACAGAACATGCATCCTGCTATTCTCAGCACCTGCACACTCTTTTATCACGCATGCACCTACCATCCTCCACAACGACACCTCTCATTTCCTCCTGTTAGTACTTTTGCACATATTGAGAAATATGAAGCATTATGCAGTATCAAAAGAACAGATGCATTCTGTACCTGTCATGCTGAGAAAAATGTACAGCACTAAGCCAGTCATAAGAGATACTAGAAAGGTGAATCCTTCAGGACCAACTTCAAAACAGCACATTCTCTTTTTGCACCTCGATTTTTCTCTTTGTGTTCTTTTAAGTTTTTCCAACTGTACCCATAGAACCATTAAAAAAAAAAGTTTTAAAAACAGTGAAAACTTTCAAAAGAGACTTCTCTCATGAGACTTCAATGATTTAACTCTTTTACAAGGTACCTTTATGACCAACACACTGATGGTAACCCATATTCAATGGGGACTCCACTGAAAGAAATCTGGTTTTATTCTTTCTCAGACTTGGATGTTTCAATCTCCAGGAGCTTAACAAACAAAATAAAACAAACTCAAACAAACAAAAAGCCAAACCAAACACCCCCTCCCCCCAAACAATAATACCTCTCCAACATCATAGATCCATATGCGGCCTTCTGAATCACCAACTGCTACCTCCTTCCCAGCCTGGGCCCAGCGGACACGGTTGAGGGCAGAAGCTCCTTCTATGGTGACGCTGGCTGTGGGAACCTATTGAAACAACAGGAACAGGAAGGACAATAAAATCACACTGCCTACAAACCCAGGGGTCAGTTTTGAATGTCCTGCTTAGCTGGGTGAGTCAAAGTCCTTTGGCATTGCTGGAAGAAACACACAACCCTCACTGGGGGGAGGGAGGAAAAAAAAGGGTTCATTATTTCTTTGATCACACGTGCTAGATAGAGGAAAGAGTAAGAGATTGCAAGAGCAGGAAAGACTTTTCCATGGGAAAGGGCTGTAAATGAAAGGGTTTTTTACCCCTTAATCCTGGAAACATGCAAAACTGCATCCGCTTTTTTCTCCAAAGTCAGTAACATGACCAAGAACCAGCCAAGGGTAGGACTTAGTTTCAGTAGTGCTCTGGCTTCTGGCCTCTGACTCAGGCCCAGATAACCTGATGGTGAGCAGACACATCCCTGTATTCATGCTGACACATCTTTTGAATCCATACTCACCTCTGCAGCTAGATGCAGAGGTAGAAACTTAAGTATTTATGTCAGAAAAGTCCTGAGCTAATCACTTTAGAATGAGGACACAGCAGAAGTGAGAACAGCTGAGCTGACATTTAGGAACTCCTACAATATATTCCCACAATTCTCTTTTAAATCCCCAGGAGATTACTTCTGCTTTAAATACACTTGGATGCTGTCTAATTTCCAACCCCCCTCCCTGCCCCAAGTCAACCAACCTAACAGGTGATCCACAAGAATACATAAAGATTCTGGTTAGCGTGTGGGATGAATAAAGCAATGAACACGATCATAGGAGAAGTATTTGTAATCTATGCTGGAATGAGGGCATCAAAAGATGCTGCAGAAGGAAGGAACTCTGTGGGTGTTTGTCCCAGATAGGTGGATCACTCAGTTGATTTAGGTCACCTCATAAGACACATGACAGTAACCTGCAAGCCTGGTAATGCTCCACCCAGCTGCCTTTAACAGGAGAAACTGCCTGAGCAAGGAGCCTGTACCTTGGCATAACAGTCTTCCAAACAAGGCTTTTTAGTTTCAGTGCTTTTTAGGTTAGGGCAAATGGGAGAGGACAGCTGCAAAAGCAGCTCCTTTACCAGATCCACACGGTGGGAAAATGTCTTGGTCATACAGTGAGATGAGGACAAGGGAATCTATAAATGGGCATAGAATTGGAGAGTAGCCCAGGCAAGAAGAGTTAGCTGGACAGGAATCAGAGTTCAGGCTACCCTGGGAAGAGTGACAGGTACTCCTCCTGTCCTCATTGTCAGCACAAAGCAGCAGAAAGAAAGAAATCAGCTTCAATGTTGTATTTATTAAAGCCTGGTCTGAATATTGACAAACTGGCAAGATTAACAAACCCAGTATTTTGCTAACTACATCTTGGTTCTGTGGCTGTAGGTTTATATTGTTCTTGTGAAATAGGTCCAAAGATCCAGGAGAAAAATAATTTTTAAGTAAACATTGTACATCTCCCATGCCAGTCACCTTCTCCTCAGCTCTAGTGCCTTCACTGTGTCACACAAAACAAGTGACAGCAGGAAGCTCAACCTCTACAGGCTTGCTGAGACTCTCAGTTACAGCCGCAGTGCAACACCAGCAGCTCCACAAGGACTGCAAAGCAGGGCTGCTTCCATTGACCCTCTCCCCCTGGAGGCTCCCTGCTCCTCCTCACCAACCCTGACACAGCTGCAAAACCAACTGGAACCTCAAGCACAACGAACCCACCAAAGCTAAAGCTCCACCTCTTCAAAAGGGTTCAGTGTAGTGTCCTGAGCCCCACATGTGGAATGCAAGAGGGTTCTGTTTGCAGAATGATGTAAAAATAATGCTGGATAGCAATCAGAAAGCAGATACCATCCTCCCCCCCTTTAAGAAGTCATTCAAATGCAAATATCTACTGGACTCATGTCCCCATTGTGCAAGTCCTAGGTCCTGTCTGAGGAAGTATCACCCCAAAAAATTGACACTCACTAACTCCTTGTTCCAAGTCTGTTACCTAAGTGAGAGTCAACGGCCTTAAGCTGACAGGGAGTCATTGATCCACGATAAAAATCACAGTAGAAAACAAGCAAGTTTTGCTGCTGTGATCACTGATTTCTAGGGGAAAAATAAAAAAGCTATTTAATTCCAGCCAAAATTAATTTCATAACATTTGGAAATGGAATTTTTCAAACAACTAAATGCCACTCTGTAGAGGACTAACCCACTAACCAGCTACGATTCTCAGAAAACTGTAAATCAAAGATATTTGTTTCATGTACAGATATACAGTGTATATTTAGGGCACTGGATTTTCACAAAATCTTTCAGGAGGCTGAAATACATAACTCTAAAGCTGGGTTTTGGTTTGGTTGGGATTTTTTTTGTTTTTGTTAATACAGCATTTTTTCAGTGTTCCACATAAAAATAAGCAGCATGCGTGCCACAGACACAACCCATGATTTTTTTCAAAACCCGATGGTTTTGAAAAATCCTGTTACTAATCCACAAAGCTATCTAACCAAATAAAAAGCAGTAATGAAAGTCTTTAAAAATCTAAATAAAAAGCCTTTTCTCCAGAGATAGAGAAATACAGTAAACCCATGATATCTTAAAATAGATTTATCTGCTCTCAGTTGTGATAGGTTAATTTACACATGCCTATTTTAGACTTCAACATAAGAGTTTATTTATAACGGTAGCATTATGTTTTTAAAAATCACATTTGAAAGACTATATAAATTCTCTGAAGTTTTTGCTTGTCAGATTTTTAACAATTTTGAAATGAAATTTTAACTGATAACAGATTAAGAAAGATGCAGTCAAAAAACTTGCTTTATAAGAATACAGTTTTTTTATTATTATTTTTACTGCTTTTGTAGTGTCAAAACCTGCTGCAAATACATCTGTTATCTGTTTCTAGATGTAGATACCATCCTCACAATTGCAAAGCTAAGGTATGGCATGCAAAAAAACCCCAAAAAACATTTGGATGGGATATAACACAGAAGAAATAAGCAACTTTCTAAGTCAGCTTCATATCAGCTCATAGACAGACTCATCAATCACCTAGAGATCTTCTCCAGTCTTGATCAAAAAGAAATACAGACACATAGGTAAGAAATCAGCATTTGCTATCCTGAAACTACTTGCAAACCTCATTATACTGAGCCATAAAAATAATACTCAGTTTGCAAAAGAATGACTGAGTGGGTAAGGATTTTTTCTTTTAAAGGTTTTTTACATTCATTTATCAGACATAAAATAAAACGTGACTATTTTCATTTGATATTACAAAAACAATTCCTGATAGTCAGAGACCAATATGAAATACACTGATATCCTTGCTAGTTTGCACTGGGATTTTGATAATAATTATACTGATTAAATCCTTGGTACAGTCAAATGATCTTAGTTATTTTGATCAGAAAGCATCTAGCTCTCAGGAAAAATGTTTTTAATAAATACAGAGAGTAACACTAGTGGAAACTGTGTTGCAGTTCAAAAATTTGAAGGTAGCATATAGTAACTAAACCCGTGTGTTTTCTTCTTAATTGATTTCAAAATAACACCTAAAGAATAATGCAGTTTATTCCCCAAATTAAACAAAACCAGGACTCATTAATAACAATCACATCTAGTTCTAACGCAGAGATTTTTATCAATAGCTAGCAGTTAAACACAGTAATGGACCTGTCATTTTCTACTGTCTTCACAAATACTGTGACATCACGTATCTGACATCTAAAAGCAATAATGATCTAAAAAATAGGTGTTTCAAGATCTCTTATTACAAAGGCAAAAAGTGCTGACAAGGAGTTTTTCTTAGCAAATAGCTGTGCAGATTTTTTAAACGGTGTAATCAATTACAGAAATCTTGAAAATCATTAACTAATTATGACCTATCAGATAGAGGGTAAAAGCAAACAGCAATCACTTTCAGCTACGATGCTCGGAAGAACTGTTTACAGATCTCTCTTTCAGAGGAACTTTTGCGGCTTCTCCCGCGTAACAAAACTTCACAGCTATTCAGAATCTGCCAGTTTATCATTAATACAGATTTTTAAATTTGTTTCATCAGTGCTCAGCAAGGAAACCAAATGGTATTTCTGCATCCAGAGACCCAAAGTCGATTTTCATAAAAATACAAAGCTCAGATATCACGAGAACAATTCCATTCTGATCCTTACATGAGAGCTGATTTTGACCTCTCAGAACGGAAATAATTTGTGAAATCAGGGGTGGCCTTCCATGCAGAATAAAAGCAAGATCGAGCTTGAAATTAATTTTTTTTTCCTGATGTTCCTATTTATTTATATGTAAACACACTGCAAATGCACAGTAGTTTGCTATGTACAGCCTTGTTATTGATGGGAATAGGATCAAGCGGTCCATATTAATTTTTTGGAAAGAAGTTATGGTCTCATTGTGTGAAATGGCAAAACATCAGTTGATTTCAAGCAGAGTAGGATTTCAGCCCTGGTATTTGGGGGGAAAGGGTTATTTTTTTTTCTTCTCAAAATGCTGGGGTTTATGCTCTGTGTTTAAGCCTGCATTAATGAGAACACCTGAAGGATATGTCCCTCCCTTCCCAAAATAAATTCTGAGGAGACTCCTCCTGTATATCCTCCAGCTGTATGTGCTCTAATTAAAAAGGCTGCACTGCTTCCTGCTCAGAGCACTTCAAAAGGCCTCACTGCTCCCCTTGACAGTGCAGTGCCCGGTGCTGGTTCCTCTTACCTGTCTGTGCTTATTTATGGCAAGCACCACTCACTGGAAGCCATAAACTGCACCCGTATTTTATTCTGTCTGAAATGCATAGCATATCTACAGGAAAGGCATATTAATGATCAAACTAATCTTAACAACAACAAAAAAAAATAGGGTGTATGGAGGAAAACGCTGTTTGCTCTTTCGCCTTCTCTTTTTGGACATAAAAAGAAACTGGTCAGCTAATATGTGGCCTTTTATTTTCTTACTGTCTGTTTGTTTTTAATTTTACATTGCATTAAGTAAAAACATGCAAGACTTTGTGTGTGGAAAAATACTTCAATTCTTGTGCTGACTACTGATTACTGGCTATCTAAGACTGACTTCAGGAGATGTGACAGGTTTTCTCAAAAACATTTTTGGGGGAAACTCAAATACAGAAAAATAGTATCATTTTAAGTCCCTGGCATTTTTAAAAATCTGATATAATAGGAGTGAAAAAGGGTGTTCGGTACATTTTAAAGATTTTTTTTTTTAAATATACAGTGTTTACCAGTCGCATTCTTTGCTAAAAGCACTCTGATTAATCCTTTCTCATCAGCAAAATTCAAAGGTGAGACGTTTCCTCCCCAGTGGTCCCCTCTACTTAGCTAATAGCAACGGAAAGAAAACTCGTTATCTGTCATTTGCATCTGTGTGTGCCTTCAAGTTCCACAGCAAAGTTTAACGAAAAGAAAGGTGAGGGTATAAAGTACCAAACAACATGAAACAGACGTGCCCTGTGCATTAAAAGACCGAAGCGGGATACCTAGCGACTCAAAGGTGGGAGGTGAGGGGAGATGCAGGGGCACACACTGGATTTCTGACACGATGGAGGCACCAGTACGGGGCTTCCAAGTTATAATCTCCAGAGGATTTGGAGCAGAGGATAATAAACAGGGAGGGAAATTAAGTCTCCCAGTGCAACGCGAGCCCTGTCGAAAGGCTGCCCGGCGCCTCGGTCCTCGCTGGCAGCCTGTGGCCGGCCTGCCAAGGTGTGACCACCTGGGCGAGTGCAGACATCGCAAACCTGGCGCTTGGAGCGTCGTGCGCCAGAAACGGAGTGGGGGGGGGAAAGGGATAAAAAAACCTGCAGAACGGGCGCGGTTTGAAAAGTGCACCTTAAAATAACAGAGCGGGAGGGAGCCTCCTCCCCGAGCCAGCACCGCGGCATTTAATTGTGTTGGCTTTCTGCCGGGGGTGCCGGAGTCGGTCCTCCCGCCCCTGACAGGTACGGAGCGCAGCAGCCCCGCCGCAGGGGAGGGAGCGAGCGAGGGAGGGGGAGAGCGAAGGCGGGCGCGGGAGGGGGGCGGGCGGGCGCCCCCGGCAGCGGGACGTGCCCTCCCCTCCCGCCGCGCCCCGGAGCGGGGGAGCGGCCGACGCCGGGCTGCCATCGGCCCGAGGGAGCGCGGCGCCCCCGCAGAGCCCGCGGGGAGGACGGCGAGGGGGTGCTCGGCAGCGCCGCCGGCCCGCACAGGGTTAAGGTCTCCCCGGCGCCCGCCCTCCCCTCCCCACCGCCGGCCGCCGCCGCGCCGCCTCACCTCGGTGTCGTTATTCAGGTTCCACAGATCCAGGCGCCCCATCCCGTCCACGCAGGCGAAGAGCGCGGGATGCACTGGCGACCACATGACATCGTAGACATAGTCGGCATTGTCTTCAAAGGAGTAGAGCGGCTTGTTGTGCTGTAAAGCAGAGAGCGGCATGAAGACTTCGTGGCGCTAGTGCTGCCTGGGGCTGTCTGGCGAGTCTAATTAAAAACTTTGCACATTTACAAAGTGTCATAAAACTTCCCCAGATGAAAGGTCCTCCGCGAAGGGCGGGACTGCACTTTAATGGGGCAACAACTGTCCGGTGGGATAAATGAGATGCCCGGTGTGAGGGGTGTGGGACGCGAGGATGATGAGGCGAGGGCGGGGAGCGCCCCGCGGCTGCTCCCGCTCCCGGCCGGCTCCCCGGCGGCGGGAGGGGGTGCGGGATGCAGGCAGGGAGCAGGCAGCGGGCTGGCACCGGCGCTGCCGCCCGAGCCCAGCGCGCTGGCGGCCGCTCCGATAAGGATCGTGAGAGCGGCGGGAGCAGCGCGGCGCCTCCGCGGCCTCCCGCGCACCGCGGGCCGCGCCTGACACCTGGCGGCGGGCGGCGGCAGCGCCCGGGGCCGCCTCGGGCTGCCCTGCCCGGCCCGGCCCGGCCCGGCTCGGCTCGGCCGGGAGGGAGAGCGGGAGGCAGGGAGGCAGGGCAGGCTGTCATCTGCAGCAGGCGGGGAGTCGGAGGGAAGTTAGGAAGTGCACCAGGAATGAAGTGTAATTGTCCCTCATGAATTATTCATCGCATCTGGCTTGTCTTTTAATTTTTGCATAATGGCTTCGCTAATCCCCGATCAATTAATGGAAAATGAAATTTGAATGATAATGAAAACTCCAGAGACGAAAGGAATTAAGTATTCTCGTGGCTTGTGACAGAAATCTAAACAATGGGGCTTCTCCGAGGGTCTCCCTCACTCCCTCCCTTCTTCTCCTGCCGTTCCCTGCCGCCTTCCTGGCGAGAGGAGCACGGCCGGAGTCGCGCCCGCCGCCCCCCTGTCCCCGGGAAATGGAGCTCCACGGAGGGTGCCTTGAGAGTGTCCAAGTCGCACCGCTCGAACAGCTCGGTCCAGTCACTCTGGAATGCATCCCCGTGCATTTTACAAAAGATACCGTGGCCTCAGTGCCTTAATGTATACAGCCATGCATTATTTTTCAAAAAAGTGGAGCAACTGATTGCAATTATTAGATAACTGTTCTTTCATATATTATTAATTTAGAGCAATAAAGCAGCTGGTTTTATATTTATTTCCAGCTGGGTCCTTGCTAGTTTTGGCTTTGGTTCTCCTGTGCCCCATGGTGATTCGATGGATATTGGAGTGGGAAGCACTGCACATGGGACAGGTGTGCATCCACACCTGTAATCTCTCTATGCTGCCATGGGCTATATGGATTCCCACTGTCTATCTGCTGGCATTGTGTATTTTCACTGAAAATTTCTAATTTAGGTTCAAATATATCAAGGGTCTAAATGCTGGAAAAGTGGCCATTGAAGATAGTAGTACACCAAAAGAAAAGAAAGTCTTGTCAGCTGCTAGGTGGATGGTATTTTTCTTATTCATGGAAAAAATGCTGCACATATAGCACTTTAACATTAATGTCATGGGTGAAGTAACAAAATTCCACAGAAGTTAGAGGCCTATTAAGATATCAATCAATTTGGGGCAGATTGCAATCAGCATTTCCTTTTTGTCAGCATATCAAAACTTGTTTTGATCTTATTTTGAATGTAGCATGTTTTTAATGTTCTTTTTAGTTCTGCTAGTTTATTTTCCAAAGCATGCTTAAAGACCAAGGCACTACAGGGAAGGCTCAGGAGATTTGGTGCTAGTCTGTATCTTGCTATGCACGTGCTTATATAGTCTGGCAAATAGCTTTAACTGATGTGCGTTGGTTTCCCTGTTATCAAAATAAAAACACTTGAAGTGCTGGTATTTGATATGAAAAGCCCTAAATACCAAAAATCAAAAACCTCTACTATAGCAGTGGAAATACTCAGTCAGATAGAAAGTCAGAGGACAACAGGAATAATATGGTTTTTCAGAAAGTTCTCAGATATGTAAGGAAAGACACACGAATAGAGGTGAATAGGGAATGGAGCAGAGCACTGCAAAGAAAAAATTGCAGCCATGTTAGCACCCCAAACAAAAGGCAAGATCATCTGCAGTGTGGCTGGGAAATCAAGGAGAAATCATATGGCAACACCAGGCATTGGTAGTGGAGCTGAGCTATAGCCATTCATACTGCCCACAGTATCTCTGCCTCCCCAGCCTGACTAGCCACTACTGAAAAAAAAAAAAAAGTATTTCCCACACTATGTCTTGTCTTCTTGCACTATTTAACAAGAGAAGAATGTATCATGTCAGGCTGGAGGTCCTTCTTGCTTCCCATTCTGTCTTCAGTAGTAACTGTGAATGGCCTTTCTTAGTTGACATTTCATCCTGGTCTGATTTTGTCCTCTGAGAGCAGTTACGTTTATTTCATTGTGAAGACTAGATTTGTAAGGTCAAGTCTGTGTATACATGTTCACAAGACTTCCTTACTATAAACCTGTTAACTGAGGGCCCAGGCCTGCAGATTCTTTTAATGTAAGGATTTATGAGTAAGGACCGATGTGGACTGCTTGTAGAAAACGTTGAAATGTGAACCATGTAAAGGTCACTTTAAAGCAGTTTTAAATTACGAAAACTTCTGACTTACACAATCTATAACTAACATATGGCTATTATTATGAAATAACTGAAATTTAAACTTGATGAGCTTTCATTCTTAAATATCAATCCACTCTGTTATTCAATAGAGCAGAAGAAATAGTTTAAAGCAGTATCTTCAGACAAACTTGGGTCAAATCTACTTACTACTGAAAAAGAAGAGTGTAGGGCAAAAATGTGGCCCTATTGAATGGAATTTTGCCACTGATTCCAATAGGGCAGGACTTGATCATTTCGTGGAAAAAGCAAAAAAGCCAATGCCAAGACATGTGATTTTGTGTCGTTTGTTTAAGCATGTTGTCAGAATCAATTGTTCCTCCTCAGTGTTTGTATACAGGCATTGCTTAAAAGGACAGTGAAGGGTGAACATTTTAAATAGCCAGAAGCTGTCTAGGAACTAACACTTGTCTATGAAGTAAGAAACTCACGTAAATAAATTTCTACATATTTATATAAAAGAAGGGGTTTTCCACATATAAATTTGACCAGTCTATTCCACTTATTTGCATAGAAGAATTTTCTTTAATCGAGGAGGCGCCACACATAGAGTAGCTAATTATCCATATAAAGGAATGTACCCATATCCACAGGTTTTAACTAGCATCTGACTTCTGAAAAGCCATGGAAAAAGTTATTGGCTTTGCATGTTTTGTGAAAGAAGCATTTTACACATTGGTGCAATTTCTGTGGGTGTCAGCTTCACTTACAGGTACATCCCTAGACTGTACCTTCAGCAGTACAGATGTTTGGTGACACCACACACTCTCCTGTCTCTACTTCTTTCTTTCCACTCCATTGCCTTCCATTCTAAAGAGTATAAACCAGACACATACTTCTGGCTCACACCATATTAACAACAGCCATGAGTGTTGTGCAGTATTGTAAGTTGATTCAGGCTAATTTGATTTTTCTAGGTGTGCAGCAAATATGAGACAGATTTATTAGTCCTTGGCATAGAAACTTTCTGAACAAGCTGATGTGTTCGTGTAGGGTCAAGCTCAGGCTCTCAGGCACTTGGAAAGAGCAGAGCCAGAAGGGTCCTGAGCAGAGTGTCTGCTCCTGTGTCTGGCCCTAGATGATTTTTAAAGTTCCTTCCAATGAAAACCATTCTGCAGTTCTATGAATTTGGCCCCTGTAGGACCAAATATTGTATAAATAGTCACTAGTTAACTGAGGTGCCCTACATCAAGTTACTTGACTAAAAACTCCTTTACCTGTCTTAAAATTCCTTCTGACTGTCAGTTTCAGTGCTGTATCACAGATGAGCCTTCTGGGACTCAAAGAACATTTCACTGGGTTATAAGCTATGTATATGTTATGCCACCTCACTCTTGGACAATTATTAGGTCACTGCATCTAAACTGACTTGATTGGGCAAGGCAACAGGCTTAAGTTTTAGATTCAGTAGCAACAGGGGGAAAGAAATCAGTGTGGAAATGATCCCTACACTCTTCACAGCCCTGTTTTGTTTAAGTACTGTAGTATAGTTACGCTGATTGTTTTTTTTTTGTCATCCTAAAAGTTGCAGACAGACAAGGCAGAAAATTGTTCACTTTTAGAAATGATTGTTCTTGCAGAGATGCTGAAACTGTTGCCTTTTTTAATTGCCAATAATAAAAGAAAGTGCAATATTTTTGCATAAACATGTGGTAATTATTACAGATGGAGGAGGGGACAAGAGTGAGACCGAAAGGAAAGGGGCTATGAGAGCAGACCAAGTCTGGAGATAACCTGATGATTACATTTTTGTGGTTTCCTTCAAAGTTAAAGCATCATGGGTGAGCATAAAAGAAGGAAGCAAAGAAAAAAGGTTTGATGGTTGGTACAGGAGGTTTTAATGAGAACTGAGCTTAATGTCTAATACTGTGGCATGAAGAAAAAAATAAAAGAACTTGGGAAGCCAGACCGCACCTGACTTTTAAGAACATCAGTAAGTCAAACAGCAGAGCTTTTGGAATCCGTAGCGATAGCCTTTTGGAATCTGTGGAAGCTAGCTTTACTGACAGGTAAACTGCTTATTTGGTTAATCCTTCTTAACTGTTTTAAGTCCTTTGCAGAGGTGCAACACTTTCCAGCTGTGCTGCTAGACTTCTGTAATTCTCTTCTACCCTGCCTTTCCACTTGTCCAATGGAAGAAGACCTTTTCATTTTCTGAAGAAAAAAAAGCAGAAAGCATGGCATTCCTCTTCACCACTGCATATTAGCTGAGTTTTATGTAAATGTGTATTACTTGATGTCTGATGTAAGTTTAAATTACTTAAGAGATCTGCTTGCAATGGATGAACTAGCATTGTGTTTACTAACATAAAACTGTATATAAGGCATTGAAACTCTACAAAAGAGGCTTAAGAAAGATGTTAAGAAGAAGATAATATGCATACCGGGTTACAGTGT